AAGAGGAGGTAGTTATCGGGAGATTTTTGAGGAGGTCTGATCTTAGCAGCGTGTGCCAAACATTGTCTTGAGATAATCTGCAGGTTCTTCTCCCTGAAATGCATGGAATGTTTCTAAATCCCAGTTTTACTGATGCAGGAGATTAGAGCTGAGTTGCTCAGACCAGGCAAAGCACAAAACAGAACAGTAGGTCTTTGAAGTCAAAGAAGGAAATATCTCATGAGTTTAAGACCTCAGTGATTATGAATCTGTTAAGCATGTAAACAGAACTATTTTGGTCAACAATTTCAGACTTAGGCACATCAAACCTATGGAATTACTTAGTGTCCTTATCCTTTGTCTTTATGGAATTAAGGATATCTGTGCTGTTATGCAACTGTGAAGAAAACCAAGGTTTTGGTGTGGCAGAAGGGAGAAAAGGAGGCTACATTTCTCCTTCCTAGGCTGAGACCAACTTGTCTGGAAGCTAAAACCACCTCCTCGTTTAACAGAGTAGCTGCAGTGAGCAACATGCAAGCATGATCAGAAAGCAAAACTAACCAGGAAAGTGGATGTTTTTCATTCTAAACAACATCATTATGTTGAAATATCAAGGAAGGTAAGTGGAATAGCAGAGTTTTGACCTATATATATTCTGAGTAAATAAAATGAACATGTGAAACTCGCCCAACACAACACGCGTCACTTTACCAAGGAGCAAGGAATAGAGCTGACCTACTGAATAAAATCCTGTTCATAGAATCATAGAATGTGTTGGGCTGGAAGGGACCTTTAAAGGCCATCTAGTCCAACCTCGCTGCAGTGAGCAGAGATATCTGTAACGAGATCAGGTTGGTCAGACCCCCATCAAGCCTGACCTTGAGTGTCTCCAGGGATGGAGCCTCCATCACCTCTCTGGGCAACCTGTGCTGGTGTTTCACGACTCTCACAGTAAAGAACTTCTTCCTGATAGCTGGTTTAAATCTACTCTGCTCTAGTTTAAAACCATTGTCCCCTGTCCTGTCACTACATGCCTTTGTGAACAGTCCCTCCCCAGCTTTCCTGTAGACCTCTTCAGGCACTGGAAGGCCACTGTAAGGTCTCCGTGGAGCCTTCTCTTCTCCAGGCTGAACAGACCCAACTCTCTCAGCCTGCCCTTGCAGGAGAAGTGCTCCAGCCCGGTGATCATTTTTGTAGTCCTGCTCTAGAGCCTAGCTAAGGAGGCTCTACAAAGTAACAAAGGCATGTCTGGTCAAACTCACAGAGATGTTTATTTCAAGAGAAAGAGGATGAGAGGACAACATTAACAGATGTTTGTCACCTTGTGTAAAGCACTGCTAGGATGCTCAGACTGTACGTTCTGTAAGAAAGTATGCAGGATACGACAGAATATATTAAATCAGCAAAGCTGTTCTTGTGACATTCCTTGTTCTTGTAAATATCAGTAGCTTCAAATCCATATACGTATTTAAATGCATCACTATGTATTACATGCATTATTTTATTCCTTTCCTCTTATTGCTTGGTTCTCCCTCTCCCTATAGAAATATGCCTCAGCTTTGTAAAATAAAGTATCCATTACAGACTGAAAAAATGGGCCTGATGAATCACAAAATCCCACATAATTTAGTACATCATTGCTCAATACAGCTTTTCAGTCTAATTTAATGCATTATTGAAGACAACGCGTTCATTAAAACAGCTGCCAGCAAACTGTTCGTTTGATTGTTTCATGGAAGCACTAGTCAAAGACAAATAAAACACCACATGCTAATGATATGCAAAAAGGACAAAAAACAATTAAGTTTTGATACATTGCTATTGAGATGTTAATATGATTTTTTTTAATGAGTACTGCAATGGCGGCTTTTCTATGGTAAATATCAAGCATCACAAAACCTGTGTTTCTTTTCAGTAAACTTACAACATGGAATAAAAAAATAACAAAAAAACACATGGCAAAATTACCAGGACTGTTTAGCAAGGATGAATTAATGAGCACAGAATTATTATTTATTGTTTCTTATTGTTACTTTGCTGTCATTTAAGTAGCAGATATTTGGATCCAGAGTTTCCTCATGATCTCTAGTGAACTAAAATCTCTCATCCCCTCAAATACTAGGAAACTCTGGATTCTAATGTGCTGGCTCAGCTGAACATCTAACATCTTCCATTGTAACTGAGCCTTAGCAATAACTGTTGGCCTCTGAACAGAATCAAATCTGTGACCTCAACATTAAAATTTCGCCACTACTTTTTTCCATCTGTTGTGCAAGTCTCATCGTTCCCCGATGAAGCACAGGGATGAAAAAAAGTGTAGGTTAACTTGAAAATATAATCAGTAAGAAACACACACCAGAAAAACATAACTATAATAAAAGGTTTATCAAAGATATTGCCAATAATTCATAAGACATTTTAATAAAATTAACAAAACAAACCATCTCCTGTTTCACGACTCCTTTGCATATCGGTCTGAACATCCTTTAAGCCAGACAAGGCAGATTACATCATTGTTCAGCTGCAGGCCCAAGGGTTTAAATTGCGCAGACATCCGTCCCTCCTGTCTCCACTGCTGAATGCGCAGAAGAGGAGAGAAAGCTTCGCTGGGACAGCCATTCAGCAGTCTAATATTAATGTATGGCTTTGGCACTTTTCACCCTTCTAAGATTTTACTCAGGTCCAGCAGCCTCCAAGCACTCTAGCTCTGTCATGGCCATATCCCACAAGTCCTTTTAAGCTGAGTTGTAAGGGAGAAAAATCAGTTCTGAATAACCATGCTCTAAAAAATCTCATGGCAGAGAGTGGAAGTCTTTTGTTTGTCCAGTAAACTGCTGAACTATTTATTATTTTACGCAAATAAGGCAGGTGACTATTGAGGGTTGTGGAAACATACTATAACAAAGCATGAACTCTTCTTTCATTTTCTACACTTCAGTACACACACACTGTCCAAAAGGGAAGAAGAAGAAAAAAAAATTTCACTGTAGTCTCAAAGGAAGGAGTTTTTCTGGCCTAATGTAGATGTCTAGAAATCTAAACTATTCACTCCAAGTTCCTTTGCAAACCATGGAAAGTAAGACATACCTTCAGAGTGTGATTAACATCGCGGTGAAATAGATGTTTGCAATCTGACCAATTGAATAATTTCCTAAAAATGTCTACTTCTTTATATGACTATAAAGACAGAGTAGATCAAGTAACTTAGAAGTAGATGTCTTCACTGTAGATACTTAGTTGAGATGAATCCATCTAAGGTATTTAGATAGTTAGCTTAATAAAGTAGGAAAGATAAATACAACAACACAATGTCATGCAAAGTATGTACTTCATGATTTCATGGCAACTGTTAAGTATGCATTTCTTAAAAAAAACCCACAAAAACAAAAGGAAGGTAATGAAATAGTTACCAGAATTACAAACACGGACTGGGATATTTCTAATTAAAACCCTCTAACAACTTTTGTCTAGAATCCCTCTGCAGTAATAGAGATGCATTTTCCAAATGTGATTTGTTCCGTCTTAAAGTTATCATTTAAGTTACTTGGGAAGAATCTTCCACTGGAGATTGATGTCTCTTCTGAAAGGTATCGGGTGGACCCACCTCACTCTGTATGAAAACAGTGCTTTAAACTGAACAAGAGACTTTTAAGTGGCTGGTTTTTATGAGATTAATTCCATTCATGCTATACAAAGATAACAGATCTTTATATCTGAGGAGATGTATTTTTAGTACAGAGAATACAGCCCTATCAAAACACATATGTAGGTATGTCCTGCTATTCATAAAACTTCAGTAAATTATCATTAGTTTTACATACAGTGCCACATATCTGATGAATACACTGAACAATATTTTGTTCTGCTTCCTGGAATGTGTGTATCAAAAGGCATCTAAATTCTTATGAAATTAAATTTTTTTGGGAAGCATGCAGTAGAACTGCATTTAGAGTATTTGTCCCCAGCTATAAAAATGAATCATTTTCCCTAGTGGTTTGAACTAACAGGCCAATACACTTAACTAAACACTAGTGGAACTTCTTTAGCACGCTTTCTGTATGTCAGAATTAGTAGATCCATTTTTCTGCAAGAGAGAAAAGAGTAATCAGAAATGCCAAATAAGTCAATGTTCTCTAAATGTCACACAAGGAAACTCTAGGTCAATTTTTTAGAAAATCTACTGAAGTCTGACTGTCCTATCTTGTTATTTGCTGAAATAGGATATATGCCAGTTTATAATGCTTAATATACAGACCCTTGGTATGTCTTTCTACAGTTCTGTAAGCATCACAATGCCCTATTAATTTTATAAAGAGATTAACTGCAAAATTCACTCTTTCAAAAAATAAATTTTTTAATATAATTTTAGTTAATGTGGTCGGATCTCAGAAGTATGTAGATGAACAGCAGCTTATCAGAATATTTAATCTACATTTCCATTTGTCTTTATGGGGTACAGAGGTACTGGTTTATAGCATTATGAATTAATAATTGCCATGAACAGAGAAGACTTAAAATCTAGCAACTTGTGGAAAAAAAATAAAACAAAAGCTTCATTCCTCACTGCTTTGCACATTTGTTAACTCTCTATGCTCCTCACAAAGGTAATAACGGTACTCACACTATAATATTTTTATTATGATTTAATAGATACTGTACCTTCTCTTTATCTGTCACAACGACTACAGTAGGTGAAAATACCCCTGAATCCTGGCTTATTAATTTCAGTAGAACAACCTGACTCTCAAATAGCCTTGTAATTTATTCTTACTGCTTTCAGGGCAAGATGTTGTAAATGTCTCCAGTGACTGCACATGTAGGACTTCACAGATTACAATGAGACCTTAAGAGATCTCCTTCACAGGTACAGAATAATTATTGTGTCTAGGTCCACTTTTACTGAATGAAATACTTGAGAAGGTTTAAGTACACAGAAATGAACAAGAGAAATAGCTGTGTTGTAATATCTTGAAGTTATCTGAATGTTGTTCTTGTTTGGCATAATACATCTCGCATCTTACCTTTAACTTTGGAATAACAAGGCTCACAATGTACAGTTTGTCTGTAAATCCAAATGCTGTCTCCTGCTTTCAGATCTTCCAGTGGTCTTTTACATACTTCACACTTCAACACACAAGGAAAAATTAACAAGAAAAAATAAAATTAAACCCTTCTTTAACATTCATTCCCAGTATGCTGTCTTTTATGGAGTAAGGAACCCCAGGTCAGAATAGGGGTTATGAGTATCGCAATGTCATTACATCTGAACTCTGAACGAGTATTATTGAACAGTAAATTACACATCTTTAGACATATAAAAATCGGATATCTAAGTCTGAACTTGTTCCCCAGGTTCTCGTTATGCTCACCCACCTTTTCCTTCCCTCAGTCATTTCTAAAGGGTATTTTCTCTGTCTTAGCTTAGAAATTTATTCTAAAATAAAATGAATCACCCTTTTAGATCCTTTTGTTTCTTCCTTGAGTAAAGGAAGCATGATCAGACAGTCCTCCAAGTCAGAGCAGATCTTAAAGAATCTAAATCTGCTTATTTCAGAATATTTTATGATACTTTATTTTAACCATTAACTATGTCTCTCATTATTGTGTAATTTGGACCCTGCTTTCATAAGTGTCTCAAAAAGCTAATTTTTGAGGTAGAGAAGCATCACCCATGTTTCACATATGAAAATACACAGACACACACAGAGGTTGACTTTGCAGGATGAGGAAAGACTACAGTGGATCAAGAAGCAAAGTAATTTGATCTACAAACCAGGAATCTTGACACCCAGATTATAATTTTTTTTTCAGTCTAATAAAAGAATAGCAAATTCTGGTTTCTCTGGATATTTTATCCTCTGATAAGTGCAAATCAGCAATACTTTTACAGTACAATCCAGTAATCAAATTGCCAGCCATCCCAGAAAGGCTCTAAGCCTCTCCATAATTTTCATGACGGCTGTCTATTCAGATAAATTTGTGCTGCAAGTTTTTATTACAATTAAAAATTAATGGTCTTACCCAGAACGTCCCTTTGCAGTTAAATGAAAGAAATTGCATGATGTCAACATCATGGACTTAAAGGCAGTGTGAATCCAGGATGCAGATAATATGCAATTGCCTTATGTTACCCAGACTCATAAGGGCTGGTGTGAAACTGCAGCTGAACACTCGACATTGATTGGTGTAACATGTTAGAGTACTAGAGAAATTTTGTGCTTTTTTTTCAGTTTTACGGAACTATGTGGTTTTACATATCTTTTCTACATAAGCTGTTAGTAATAAGGTACTATTAAAACAGTCTGCTCTCTTCACTCGTTTTGTTTCCTTGTATAAATCAGCAAAAGGATGGGCATGTTGCCAGAGCTTTGCTCAACAAAATCAAGCAGCATTTTTATACAAAGAAAAACCACTGCAGTTTGGATTGTGTACTCACGGAGCTTTTGGTGTATACCTTCACAAGGAAGCAAAGGCCTTATACTGCTGTCAGCTACATGCAAATCTCTAATGGATACAGGGTATTTGTAAGGAGCTAAATGAATATTAATGATTAGAAATTGCACTACTTAGCTAAATACATAACTACAAGCATGAACCACAGACCTACATTAGTTGTTTAATTTTTTGCCTATGCTTTCATGAATGAAAGCTGAATTTTGCTGGCCAGACAGGTCCTCATTTGGGAATAGTTAGCAAAATAATACAATTTTAAAAATAAGATTTAATGTTTAACAGGTTAATTCAGCCAATATCAGCATGTTAACACTCCTAACTGCATAAAAAGTTCATTCCTCTTTATGTGGGTTGATCTAGCTAAAAAAAGAATGGAAGGAAACCAGAGCGTGTATTCATTTGCTATAATAGTATTGAGGAGGTATTACAAAGTGCTTTCTATGGAAGAAATTGCATTTCTGATGTTCACAGAGCTCGGAAAGTAGATATGAGACAAAAAGCATATGTAATTTCCTACATGGTAAGCACAACCTGCTGTATTCTGCTTTGGTTACTTTTCATGTGATAACTAGGGAAAAGAACTGTTGTCAGAAGCAGAAGTAAAAGCTATGCAAGACTGGGCAGAAAAATGAGTTATGCTAATGTGGTGATTTTGCTGCGTATTGTTGGTTAGAACAACAAACTCTGTGTGGAGTTGCAAGCGGAATTAAGACAGATGAGGCAGAAAGAAAACAGACTAAAGGGCTGAGCACTGGTAAGAGTACCCTGAGAAAAGTTTAAGAGTGAATTTTAGGCTGAGGCTTAGGCTTTGGATTGACAAGCAAAAAAAAAAATCTGCTATGCTTTCATTTTTATTGGAAACAGGAGAAAAATAAATAATTTTTAATAAATGAGGCTGAGGAAAAGACATATCCAATGTCAATACTATTTTATCCTACAGCAGGATAAGTTCAATAAGACGCAAATTTTAACCAAAAACTTTGACACCAGTGGACAAAATGATTTCTCTTCTACGGCTTACATACCTCTTATTATTGCCTTTGCATGTGGCTTCTGCACAAGCCATGGTTTTAGATGTCACTTAATTAAGAACATCCAGAAAACTTCATTTAAAAAAGCATAAAATTTTACAGTATGAAGAATGTGTAAGTAGAATATAATTCATTGTATCAGACTTGAAGTGTGTGTAACTAATGAAGGCTTATAAATGTGTAGGACATTCAGGATACATTCCACTCCGATCCTCCCTGTAGTTGCAAGGGAGAAGCAGAGGGAGGGTAGAGGAAGAGGGAGAGAGAGAAAAGAAAGGGGACAGGATTGTGTAGAGATGAGAGAGAGTGAGAGCAGTATTTCCTACAGTAATCTCTCAAGTGCAAAAGTCTTCCTCTTCTCCCAGGTGGAGAAGGCCTCAGGCCTAAATATTCTCTTGTTATATGTGTAATATAATGCAAGTATTACATTCAAATCATATTTCTTAAAAGCAGGTGAAATCTTCTTACCTTGAAGCAGGTTGAATGACAGCAAATTTGCAAGGCATCTAAGATCATTTTGGCATCTATGCCCAAGGGCTTCCTGCAGTATGTACATATATCTTTTCCAATTATACTCCTGTGTATATAATATAACATCAGCTGTCACAAAAAGAGCTACCATTGCAAACTCAAGGAGAAAAGGTGTAAACAGGGCAGTACATGAGGAAGACATTTGTGTACTCTACAATGGTCAAAAAAGGAAAAATGTTATATGTATATCCCCTCCGTTCTAGTTGATAGATGTAACATACACACTGCTGTGATGGGCAAATTGTTGATACAAGTGTTGGTGTTGGTTTTACACTACAAGATAAACTGGTTGTCCTCCTTTTCACTCAATGACAAAACATTGCGCTAATATTTAATCATTCCCAGAGGTCTTTATACTTTCGTTGGAAAGGATACAAGTTTATCTGATTCGTTATTTCTAAATAATGGGACTGTTCAAATCACCCAAACTGAAAATAGTGGGCACATTTAATTTTTGTTTTCCCCATGAGGTAGGGTGCTACTGATTAAGCAGATATCCTTCTTAAATTTGGGACTTTCTTAACTGATGTGCAAACATAGAGTTTTTAACAGCATTGTAAGATGAACCTATCCCCTCACATCTGTACATAAAGCTGGTATTTACAGACACCATTCTCACAAAGCAAAGAAATTTTGCAGAGTAAGCAGCTCCCTGAGGTTCTACAGAATCACGAAGCCAACTCTATCACATAAGGCATTGGCTGTATGGTTTCTATAGATATTTTTAAACATCAGCTGTGACAAGCCTAACATAGTATTAGGCTGCTGCACTATGTAAGGATTTGGTGGCAAGACCCCACTGAAAGGGAACTCTTGTGTGAAAAGCTGTCTGACGAGTCCACGGCTCTTTTTTGTCTAAATACTTGAATGCTTATGCAAAATGTCTGTGTCCTTTGATACTCTACAATGTTATTAATGTGTACTTACCGATCAGAAGTAGAGTAAACAGTTTTGATAGTATTTCCAGTTAAATTTTCTTCATAGGCATGGTATGATGAGTTGCTGTGAAGCAGTGAGTGCATAGCAATCACTAAAGGGTACTTTTTATTTTTAAAGGTTTCACTACACTGATATATATGCAAATTAAACTAATGTAACATGCTTGTAAAAAAAATCATCATACTTGGTGATGAGTTCATTTTCTGTATTTTCACAACTGTCAAAAAAAAAAACCCTAAACCCCCATAAATCTGAAATTTAGAGACCTTAAACTGTGTTCTGTTGTTGAATGATTCTTCAGCATTTTAAAATTAAATCCACAAGCCCACTGAGAAAATCTACATGATGGTATCAGGTTTGCCTGTGCTCATATCGCAGCCTAATTGATACATACCAGGAAATAATGACACACTCCATTTTTTTTCTTTTTTTTTCCCATCTTCACTAGTCCTCAAAGAGCCAAACAAAATTCGAATATGTCCTCAGAAGTAGACTGATGGTCTTTGTAATACACATTGTTCAATATGATTTGAGTTCACTACAGTAACTGTATTTTTCCTTGTATCAGAGTAGGAAGGGATACGCTGAATTTAACTATCAGGGAAGTTAAATCTTTGGGTTTTAACAGTCCAAGTTCTACTTGCTTAACTGTCAGTTTTGCTTGCATGGAAGGGATGACTATGCATGTGACAGCTGAAGAAGTCATCTTGCCAGACATGTTTTAAACATTTTGGAACTAATTTAATTATCCTATTCCTCCAGAAATTCATAAGTTATATGGCAATTATTACATGTTTCATATCACTCTTAAATAATGTTTATCAATGTTAGAAATTTTTTTTATAATTATTTGCCAAACATGTCTTTTTTCAGGGACAGTGTAAACAGACTGATAACGAGTGTGTAAGGTGTTACACAGCACAGATACAACAGAAATGTGTTAAAATTGCAGGTTTTAGGAATCTTAAATGATAAATGTTTTTATTTATATTTTATAGAACATAACAATATGCTTGTTATTTAATGACAATGTAGGAAACCTGGGTTTGCTCATCACAGAGAAAGTATCTCCTTAAATGAACACCCAGTGTTCCATTTGCATTTCAGGCAAGATGAAAGTAAGTAGTTACTACCTAGGAAAGAAAACTGAGGCTTAGTGATCACCTTTTGAAAGAGTTTTTTCTGTATATTTTTGTTCCAGCCAAGCTCGATACATGCACAACACATGTTGCAGGTGGAGAATATTGCTGGAGCAAGTAGCTAAAATATCTTGCTGTAGTGCATAGGAACACCACCCTTTCTGTATGGGCTTGTCTGTGCTTCCCTTTGTTGTTCAGCTTGGATTTTTTTTTCCCCTGAATCTTCTATTTAACTCATTGCATTTAGGTGCAGAATCTCATGCTGAGTCAGGGTGACATTTCAAATAATCTGGTTGAATCAGGGTTGAGTTCAGGGCAAAGCGAGTTTTGTGTATTGCTCACTCAACATAATGCAGGTATTTATATTTCTGAAAATAACAGTATTTATCTTATAAAAAGTTGTATAGAGAAAAATACTTTCCTCAAGCATCCTAGTGTAGAGAACAGTGTTCCTTGGATTTTAATACCTGGCTCAAATACTATGGTTGAAAGAGACAAAAATTTATAAAACTGCATCTTAAAAAGAATAAAATAAAATTGTACTGTATAGAACAAAAAGATGTGAAGCTCCAGGAAAAATATTTCTGAAGCATCAGTTTCTCGTCTGGCCAACTGAAAGTGTGAGGAAACTCAGAAGCTTTTCAAATAAATGTGTGGTCTGACAGCTTGACAAGACACTGAGTTAAAACTGAGCCACAATGCAGCCTGAGGACAGTGTCTCTGATCACGTCCCTTCTTTCAGTTCGTGTTATCCACTCCTTCACTTTCTGTGGTGTTTATACAGCAAACTACTCAACAATAAATACTCTGCAGAACCTATTGCATAAACTCTGAAAGAAAAAACTGCAAAGACCGCTCATTTAGTAAGCTTTCAGGAATTAAACTGGGATTAGAGCTTGGATAGGGAGGTATACATTTTGTGAGGTATAAGGTTACGCTGCATACTGAAGCAAATTCTTCTTGTATTATTGTTCTCTATTTTAATTTTCAAAGATAATCAGAGTATTATACCTCAGAAGCTGTGTGTCTGCAAAATGCTGCAAAATGCAAATTAATTTTGGTGTTCGATATCCATTTCAAGCCTTAGAATTGTACGCTGTTTGGATGTTCTTTTATTCTCAGCCAATTTATGGGCTTGGCCTTCAAGGCCATGCAGAAGTTTCAGAATACACAAATTTCAACTGCACTGCAACCTCCTACAGCAAATATAAGAAAATGAGAGATCAAAGACCCTATGCCCAGTCACACGCACACCAAGGCTCAGGTATGCATAAGCTTAAGGATTGGAGTGTTGGCTGTGGTTCACACAGTTCACATAAAGTACCAGCTTGTGACTCTTATTTTTCCTACTAATAGGGGTCAGTAGAAGATTTCTCCTCTCTCTTCCAAGGCATTAGACTTGACTCAGGTAGTTCATAACCACTATACAGCAATACTTTAAACAATCCCATATACAGTAGTATTTGATTAACTCACATATATGGGTGGCTTGGTACTGAAGAGAGATTTTCCTAACCCAAAAAGATCTTCCATTCTAGAATTACATATTACATTTTTTGTTGTCTATTTCTTGACAATACATTGACTGTGAAGAATCAATATATTGTTTCCTTTATTTCAATGGTTTTCTGTTTCCAACAGACCTGGTGTTTAGTTAGTTCTACTAAACATCCCTACATCAAATTTTTCACTCAGATTTGCAATACGTGTGCATGTAGAGACAGATCCCAGCTAGGGCAAGAGTATTGCAAGACAAGGGGTTTTTTGAAATAGTTTGTACTTGGTTAAAAAATTAGAGATAAGAGATGATACATGGGTTCAGATTCATCCCATATAGTTTGAGAAATGTCACAAGGCAGCTGAGTGAAGAGAGTAATGTTTTTCTTATTGCCTCAGAAAGCAATAAGCTCCCTAAGAGCATGGTGTATCTAACATGCAGGAAATGCCTTTCCTCTTTTGATTATAACAGGATTCTGGCTTAACTGCTCTCCTAAATTTCATGCCTCAGCTACATCTCTAGAGCTACACAGGGCACTTGTCTTGTGCTCCCCACTATGTACACTGGAGCTAAGCTTTTTAGGCATCTATGTGTGGGATCCTGGAAGCAGAATCGGGAAGGAGGCTGGCATGATTCCAGAGGCCAGTGTGAGGTTTCTAAACATGTCTGATATTTCTTGCATGAAAGTTGTTTCTCTTCATTTTTTTTTCTTCAAGAAATTGCACTTAAGACATTTCAGTTCTCAATTCAATGTCTACAATACCTGGTCTGTCTTTCACTGTCACTGGAGTAGTTTGTTTCTGGGACATTATTTGGAGCCCTTGGAAGCTTTTCATCTGCTTGCTCAGTTATCCTAAAAGAAAAAAGAAACCACACAACAAGAAAACAAACGTTTTTTCAAAATCATTGTCAGCTACACAGCTTTCAGTTACACTTACGGCCACAAATGTAGAAGCTTGGGCTAGAAACAGTAGCTAAAAGAAATTTATCTTTTTCTTACTGTTGCTAAATTGTTGCTTGTGAAAAACAATGGAATAACTGACCTATAGTTTTAAGTCCTCTAGTTTATACTGATATTCATATCAGAAACTTCATCTAACTTTAACTGAACTCTAGTTTCCTCAAAGCACTCACTGAGGTTTTCAACTGTGCAGTAATGCCTCAGTGACTGATAGCATTCTGCATTTTCTTGGCATTATTCTATGATCTTTCATAGTATTTTAATTCCTTTTTTTTTTTCTTTTAGATACTACAGTTATGTTTCTACTAGAAATGACCGGCCATACAGATACATAGTCTCGTATTTCAAAAAGCGGTATTATGGTTCAAGCAAAAGAAACCTTGTCTCCTGCAGTTTTTCCTGCCACAAACATGACATACATCCAAACATAAAAACAAACCTTGTCAAACAAATTATAGGATTTAAGGAGTAAGTGGTAATAATGTTTTTCATGATTTTGCAAAGCAGCTCAGATAAAGGCTGCTTGTTTGGTGCTGCCAAAGGATATATTCTGAAAAAACTTCATGATTATAGGCCTTAAATCTGGATGTTTGGGCTGCAGCTTGATTTATTTCAGTGAGTTTGCCAAGGTCTGAAGCTCTGCTAAATGAACTTTGCTCAGTGCTGGTCACTGTTTTGTATGCACAGCATGTTGCATGAAGCGGCACCCTCTATTGTGCTTGACTCCTAATCTGGCATGGCCCCCTTTCAGAACGAAAAGAGAAACTCATTCACCATAGATATTCAGTGTATGCTTCTCTGACTAGGCTGTCGAGTGGGACTGCTAGGCGAAAAATGTTTTCTATTCAAGAAAAAAAACAAAACTGTTTATGTATACAGATAGTTAAGTCTTTCCTCTTCATTTGGATGTGCAGCTAAAGGGAAGACTCAAAAAGATACCATCAGAATGGTACCTAAAAGCATAATGCTAATTCCACCTTAGCTGACCAAAATGCATCTTGGTTTTTGCAAATAAAAAACCAAGTAGCAGTGAAACTTTTAAACTGCGAATGCATTTATTTGTATTTCTTTGAGACGCTAAGAGCTGAATTCACAAAACACCTCAGTAAGTATGAAAATACTTAGGAGGACCTTGTCCCTAGGCATTTCCATTCACTACAAGAGATTATAGGTTTGAATTGTTGCTTATTGTCAAAATGCATGCAGCTATATTGTTATATTTGGTTAATCAGGCACATTTTAAAAATACTACAGATATCTTACTCAAGTTATGCAAATTCTGCTTGCTTGTATTAAGAATTCACATCATCTGGTACCACATCTAGAGAAAGCTATGAATTCAGTCTCACCGGTTTTTACTTTGGTCATCAGCAGATTTTACTTCAGTGTGATCATCAAGGTCCTCATCTCTGTGAAAGTGAGGAAGACCACAGTTAATCAAATTATTTGATTAAATGCAAACATATTAAATGGGTTGAATTATGCTGAAGAGTATTTCATTTCAGAAAGAAGATTCCTGACTACTATGAGTATGTATCACAGTTGTTTCCTATCAGAAGTGTTTAGTTAGTTATGAATTGCAAAATATCAGTTCAAACTTTAATATTGTTCAGTGACAAAAGAACGACAAACTGCACAAAAATTCTAAGTTCATGATAGCATTTTGGGATAATTCAGGTTAGATTTCAAGGACTTGAGAAGGTCTCTAGTCCAACCTGCTCAAAGCAGGGGCAGCTCTGAGGTCAGACCTGGTTGTTTAGGACTTTTTCTAGTTGGGTCTTGAAAACCTCCAAGGACAAAGCTGGCACAACCTCTCGAGGCAGCCTGTTCTGCTGCCGGACAGTCCTTATATCCAGTTTGAATCACTCTTGTTTCAATTTATGTGTCACGTTGCGTTGCCATTCTAAACATGGAGGGCCTGTCTACATCTTCTACACCGACTACGGCTCTGACATTGCTTTGTTCTGTACAGGCGCCACCACCGTGAGCTATGGAAACAGCTGCCCAAGTGTGGTATTTGCTCTGTCGCTACGTCCAGTCCAGATCCCCCTTAACATCTGCTGTTATCTGGGGTTGCACACAATCTCTAGGACCATGTGACCACATTTATACTAGTAACTCATAAATCACTGGCGGTGAAAAAGTTGATTTGATATGAGAAATTTAATATATTAACATATGTAATAATCCATGTAATATATTAATATATTATACATTAATGTATTTATTAAGATATTATAAATACATCTCTATAATATATGAATGTATTTTAAATGTCTATTTTATATTAAATGTTGTGTAATTAACAGTAATACTGTTATCCGTTGAAAAATTTTTTAAGATTCATTTGAAAATGAATAATGATACTAAGAAAAAAGAGGATTGAAAACATGCATTTATGATACTCTTCTTTTGTATTTTAAGGACAAGTTTTAGTTTTGATGGGCCATTTCACATTAATTTAAAGAACTTTGATGGCCATGCACTGACTATATAGAGCTGCAATATAATAAAATCAAGTATTACCTCCATTTCTTCCACACTGATATATTTATTTTTACTAGCCTGTATTCAGTAAGCAACTAAAAAAGTTAAATTCTGTGCTTTAGTTCAAATAAGAATTTTTACTCCTTTAATGATTTTTACAGAATAGAACCTATTACTATTAACATGTAACCAATCACAAACATTTTAATGAATATATAATGGAAAGATTATGACAGCCTTGCCTCTTATTTTTCTGACCAGTAGCATTTATTTCAGTAAAATCCTCAGGGTCTTTTCCTCTGAAACAACAAACAAATACAGCTGTCAAAATATTCCCCCTATTTGGGAACAGGTAAAATGTAGTAAAAGAGAGAAATATATTTATGCATGCATTTAAAAGGAAAAAAAGCAAATTGTTATTTAAGTTTATGTTCAAACTTGCAAACAGTTATGTTATTGACCACAATAAGAAAATAGGTTTACAATTTTCCACTAGCAAGGTAAAGTTCTCTACATTTAAATAAAAATTTTTATCTAATACAGCCAAGAAAATAAAAAACCCAACCCTTTGTTTAATCTAACCAGTGCCATGGTTGTTTTTTGCCAGGTAAGATAGTGAAGTAGTAACTTGAACTTTCAAAGAGCTTTGTATTAATTTACAGGCTTCAAGCAGCTTGTTTGCATCATTAATTTGCAAAAAAAACCCAAACATTTTTTAATTTAAAATAAGAAACTTCTGCTTCTTAACAGCTAAAAATGTCCATATGTCCACATATTTTTGCTTCTGGAATGGCGAGAAATTACCTCCATGTGTCATCATATTTAGCAACTGAAATATTGATTATGTCAGTACTTATACAGAAAATAGAAGCATCGAAAGACTCACGAAGTTTACATGTAAGGAAACGGGGAGTTTTGTTGTTTTCTGTTTTGTTTTACTTTGGTTTTTAATTTCATAAATACAATAAAACTGGTGGCTAGTTTTTCCTCTGGATTTTTTAAAAAAATATTTTAAACTGGTTCAGTGAATTAGAGGGTGGAATGACCTATGAGAAACATTCTAACTAATGTAAAAAACCCTAATTCTCTTTAGGTAGGAGTAGGGAGAAAAAGTAAAAGTAAAAGTTAACTCTGTGAAACTGATAACTTGGTCACATCAAGCAATTAAAGGCTTATTAATCTTAAAAATTTTTATGCCTCCTAAAATTCAGTAGTGTCTCAAAGCCTGGAACTATCCTAATAAATTCTCAGTGAATTAAAATTTGCAAAAAAATTTACAGGTTAGCACTAAGTGTATATATATATATTTGTACATATGTATGCATATATAGAAGATTATCTACTGTAAAATAGGTGTCGGCAACATTTATGCACTCCTAGTGTGTAGAACATCATTCTTAAGGTTATCTGTAGGATTTTGGTGTTAGCTGTGACAAATATTACATGGCTTTTCCTAGTGCAGTACCCTGGCCATTCCTCCCTTTCTGTATATTGAAGGGATGCTTACAGACCACAAGGTCCTTGGCCTGAAACGCACCGAACTGATGTGCTGTTCAAAAATGCAAGTTCAAGCTGTTCCGTATGGATCCCTGCCCTTGCTCACTGAAATACTTTGTTACACCCTGTTGGCACAACACTTCTTATCCATGAGTTCTGCAATATTTTGTTTAATGCTTCTTCTCTACTTACTTACATGAAAATATTTTAAAAATATTTTTATTGAGCTTGCTATAGGTATTATGTGTTCAGCTGATACTGCACATGCCAGTTAATTAACCTGTGATTTTTATATTCCTCATTCTGTATGAGGAATGCTACTTATTAACTATAAACATTTTACAGCTTTGCCACAATACCTTTCCTTACATTCTCATAGTTACAAACTACTCACTCCTTTGAAGACTTACTCTTTGTCACTTGTGAAAGAACTTGGGTTCACTTTGACGAGGTTATCAATATCTTGGTTCCTTTAGAAACAGAACAAAAACCAGATCAAATCACAATTACTATAAACAACTGTCAATTAGCCAAATTAAATACTCACTTAAAAACCTGGGTTTTTACGAAAGACAGAATTAAACTGATGAAAATTTCAAAGCATACATCAGTTTAGTAATTCAAAGATAACTTACAGACACAGCTATAAGCCCCACATATGCACACACTCTTACTGGAATACGAGGAACAAATTATGTTTTGAAAACGACAAGTTATACCTAATACTAATGTCAAAAAGGATAATTCCTGCTTGACATGCATCATGGACAACTTCAAAGAGTGTCAGACCTCTAACATGCTATGATATAACAAAAATCTTTACCAGATAATGCAATCAACGAAGTAATCCTGATGCACGCATGAACAATTTCTTACCTAAAAAGTAATTATGGACTGAGCCTCTCTAGCTAAATCAGTCAAAAAGTCCATTAGTTTATTTGATAGGCTGTCTAGACCAGCTCCTTCCTGACTGAAATCTCCCTTCTCACAAGAAATCTTACATTTAAACTGAGGGATGCTGAGAAATAGTTACATTCATTGATTATTGAAGAAATAGGATGTGATTGATTATCATTATGTAATGTAAGGGAAAAAATATTTCCTTGTTTTAGATCTTTTTGGTTATTTCTTTTTGCCTTATACTAACATTAAACACATACTATATATTAATGTAAAAAAAATTATACTCTTTGAATGGAATATTTAGTAGGATCAAGTCAAAACATGGGGTGTTGCTTTGCCTTTATTTTCCCTCAAAAAATTGCACTGGTCTTACATTTTCTATAAAACAATTTCTGTGAAAATGCATTTTCCAACTGCAGACTCCTCTTCTGAAAAACTTTCAGCAACTTTACCTAAGAGTTTACCATCCAGTAACTTAACTCACCACAAAAAAAACCCCAAACCCTGAAAAAATGGATTCCTCAAGAGAAAGCAATGGAAAAAGAGTGATATCCATGTTGGCATGACAGTGCCCCTGCTGTAGGACCTGTTCTGTAACCTGGTAGTCAAAAATGGTCCATACATCTCATTACTGACATTTCATTCTGAACAGTTCTGTGATAATTCTACATCTCAGTGAAAGATAAATAAAGATAAAGCTTTTTCAGATTTCTTCTTGGTCATGTTTGTCAACTTTGGGGCTCCCTTTGAAGAGAGTATCAAGATCTCAGTTTGTTTAGGAATGAAACAAAACCAATTTAATACGAGAAGAATCTACTGCCATTTAGCTAGAACTCCACAGTAGTCATTAATAATTCTACATATTATATATTTTTGCAAATTCTATTTATATTATCACAGATCTCACACTTTTCAGAGTTTTCCTCCAGAGGCTGAAGTCTTGCAGTTATCAAAACTAAAATCTCTTCCTTTAGCAACTGGATGGTAAAGTGCTTCCTCAGTACTTGGAGGCAGCAACACTAAAATGATAGTAAGTGTAATAAAACCTCAGGTCGTTACTTTGTTATAGAATCATAGAATCATAGAAAAATCATAGAATCATAGAATCATAGAATGGCATGGGCTGGAAGGGACCTTAGAAATCATTTAATCCAACCTGCCTGTCATGGGCAGGGATGCCTCTCGACTAGATCAGGCTGCTCGAGGCTCTGTCCAACTTGGCCTTGAACACCTCCAGGGAGGGGGCAGCCACAACTTCTCTGGGCAATTTATTCCAAAGTCTCGTCACCCTCGTACTAAAGATTTTCTTCCTAAGATCCAATCTAAATCTATTCTCCTTCAACTTAAACCCATTTCCTCTTGTCCTATCAGCAGACACTCTTGTAAAAATTCCCTCCTCAGCGTTCCTGTAGGTTCCCTTCAGATATTGGAAGGCAGCTATTAGGTCCCCCTGAAGTCTTCTCTTTTCCAGACTGAACAGTCTCAGCTTCCACAGCCTGGCCTCATAGCAGAGGTGCTCCAGCCCCTGGATCATCCTTGTGGCCCTCCTCTGAACATGCTCCAACAGATCCACGTCTCTCTTATGGTGGGAGCACCAAAACTGGGCACAAGAGCAGAGTAAAGGGGGAGAATCATCTCTCTTGACCTGCTGGCTATGCTTCTCTTGATACATCCCAGGATGCGGTTGGCCTTCTGGGCTGCATGAGCGCACTGCCGGCTCTTGTTGAGTTTCTCATCTATCAACATTTCATGGTTTTGTAATTTTTATTAAGTAAAAACAATCAGCAGTGTGCGTGGCTAGCTTGAGTAAAATATATACCATTATTCTTGTCTCCTGCATCCTCCATTCCTTTACGTTCTTAGAGGTATTTAAAATATGCGTCTCAAGTCTTCTGTAAAGCCTACTGAATCTCTGCAACTGTGGCTACCTCAGTTATGATCTTTATGTCCTATGCAACTCTCACATGCATATTGGCCTCAGTGCTGCATGTTCACCCAAAATGTAGAAAGTAGATTTGGGACTCCTGATCATTCTGGCAGCAATCATGGGATTGCACATAGTTTACTCTGCAGGGTTATCAGTAGCCTTTCTGCTTACTTCTGCTGACTTTCACAGCATGGAGCAACAGAAAGGCTGTGACAGTAGCAAAGCTGTGCCCTGCAGGCCAGTACGCTCCTATGGCTGATTTCCAAATTAATATAAGCATTTGGAGAATCAAAATCCAAAACGCTTTTTATGAGACTTAGCTCAGTAAAACGGGTATGTTTGAAATTTTTACTCATAGTATAGATATAAAATACTGTATTCACTTTTTTACAATTTTCATGTTCATATTTTATAATTATTCCTAGGGGTTCTCCTTTCAGAATCACATCAATCAATTGAAGACACCTTCCTACAAAAATAGTCAAATCCAAGGCAGGTAAAATATGCTCCCACCATGAGGCCCAAATAACTTGAACTTTTTGTGTTAATCTTCATAAGAAATACTAAAATATCACAGTGGTTTTTTACCAAAAGCTACATAATTAAATTAATAATGCTACAGAAGTTCACTGTAGAACATCAGGAAGTTATATTCCTTATATACTTGTTCTTGTTATATGTAACATTCTTCTATCAACAGGGAAGGAAAAAACTCCCTCAAGATCAGAAGGAAAGATACTGTCTTTAAAACATGGTCTTTTTAAGTTTTCACATGCATTTTAACATTCTTCCCAGGTAACTTCAGATTTTATTTGCATTAAATTTCACAGTTTTCAAACAATTTTTATTTTTTTTAAAAAAAAGAAGTGTGATCTAAAATAGTTCAACCTTGACCTACTGCCTGTTTGGAAATAATGAAAAAACAATACAAACTTCCAATAATTTAAGAATCATTTCTTCAGAAATGTGTTTACTGACTGCTATTAATCCTTGGTGCAACTGGAGGAATGGATGAGTTGGTTGCCTCCTGTAGACTTTGCAGCCAACAGCGTTTTGGGTTTTTTTACTTCCTCATACATTACTTTCGTCACTTTGAATATCCCAACACACTGACTGGCTTGCGAGGAGGATTTTACTTGCTGTCCAAAGGGATAGTAAAAAAAGCAAATCAAGCCTAGGTTGTGTGTGCACAGCTTGTCAACTAGCAGCCTGATTTATAGAACATCGACTCTGAAGAGTCCTAATAAATTGAACAGAACAGTTGCAGCTGCAGATCACAGCACAAACACAGATGCTGACTGACTGGTGCGGCTATGCTTTATGGCTCCCGTGGAACAAAACTTCTGCAAAGCGTAACCCTTAGAAGATAGTAATTCATTACTTCTCAAACTTCCACCCTCGTGAAACATCTGCTTGACATGACAGCAGCAAGTAATCAGAGCTGACATCTTTGCCTTGAAGTGGCTGGTTAGCGCAAAGGAGAGGTCATAGGATGTGCAACTCCAAGCACTGTTGAGGTTCTGAGCAACTAAAGTTAGTTTGAGAGCTGTTATTTATAAGAGTATAAAATGTAAAGTAGGGCAAGCTGCAATTTACAGTGGGTAAATCAGAATTCATCTGATTAGGTTCAGAGCATGCTTCTGCTGACTTTTTTTAATCTTTCATTGTTACCAGAGCTGTATTTACTTTACCAACAGCACAGAGTGGGTACCAGTGTTGGTATCACCACGCAAGCTAGTTTCACACGAAAAATGAGGGTGGGTGTGCAACACAGAGTCTAAAGAGAATTTCAATTCAGGTTTCGTTTAAGAGATGTTAACATACTAAAAACCAGAAAAACAATTTATACTTTTTCTAATACTTCTAAAAGAGATGTCAGGTATTAAAGTGGGGAGGAAACTAACCTATGTATTCATACATCTAAGAAGCTCCTTGAGTCAGAATGTCAGATGCAGTGAAGGGCTGTTGTGGAGAAGTCTTTCCAGCTGCAGGTATAACTGACATTTCAAAAATTAAACTATTTGCCCAAAAGTAGCTGAATTGTATTCATACTTCTTAAATTTGTCAGCAATTTGTAAAAAAATATAGATGATGATGGAAAACAGCAGCATAAAATTTCTACACGAAGCAGTTTAGACAAACTTGGGGAAGTATCTTCCAAGTGTCGTAGGTGGCTTGTAATAGATGCTGACATTTTTCATAGGTCATTCCAAAAGTTGCCACCTCCAAATATAGTATTTTCAGAGACAGCCATTACATTAATGTGAACATTCTGCCTCGGGTGAGTATTTTTCAAAACGGATAAGAATGAGATAGGTCAGACAAGAGGAGAATACATAGTTTGCTCATAAATTCAAGAAGATGAACTATTTTAATACAGCCACAGGACATGACTAGAATTTTTTAGGTGCACCTAACTCAGGATAACATTTATCTACTTTTTATTCTGTATGAAAATACTTGGAACAGCAGTACAGAGGATTTTGTATCACTTTTTGTACAAAAGGATTGAGTATTAAAAAAAATTAAGTAATTTATTATAAAATAAAAACATTAAGACTTAGATTAAGACCTAGATGCGCTTGTTATCACTCAAGTACAGAAGAGAATCCTACCGATGCATTTACTCTTCCATCTGTA